ACATAACATGAATGAAAAATTTTCTCATGAAATTGATTTTTTAAAAGAAATTGAAATAAAATATTAGAAGTAAAGATTCAATAGATCAAATAAAAATTGTGATGGAAAGCCTTAACAACAGACTCAGTGTGTTAGAAGAAAGAATATCTGAGCTACAAGACAAAACTGTGGAAATCCTTCAGTCAGACCAAAAAATAAAAAAGTAAATAAGTAAGAATAAGAAATTAGAAAAAATAAAAACAACATTGGAGCTTTATGAGATAATACCTACTGACCCAATGTATGGATTTTAGGAGTTCCTCAAGGTGTGGGAAAGAGAGAATAGACTAGAAGGCCTAATTAGTGAAATAATTACAGAAAAACTTTCCCAACTTGGAGAAAGAAAAGGACACCTTTTTATGTGGAAGCACATGAAACTCCTAACAGACATGACCAGAAAATTCTTCACCATTACACATTGTAATCAAACATTCCACAGTAAAACATAAAGAAATATACTAAGAGAATATTCACAAGAGAAATACTAGATTACTTTCAGAAGATCTCCAGTTAGACTCATAGATGATTATCTAACCCTACAGGTTACATAAGAATGGCAATATATATTCCAAGAAAAGAAACTGTCAATCCTGAATACTGTATCCTCTCATTTATGAATGAAGGTGAAATAAGAACCTTTTATAACAAATAGAAATTGAAAGAGTTTGTCACCACTCATCCAGCCATACTAAAGATGCTTAACAATATGCTATATACAGAAACACAGAAATGTAGTGATCATTATGATAGAATGTGATGGCAGAAAATCCCCCAAGAAATGTAGAAAATAAATCAAAAGTATACAATAGGGATATTTATAGAAAAACTCTCCAGTTAAAAGATACAGACTGGCCAAATGGCTTAAAAAACAGACCCATCTATTTACTGCCTACAAGAAACATGTGTTACCACCAAAGATACATTTAGACTGAAAGTAAAAGGATAGAAAATGATATTCCATGATAACAGAAAGCAGAAAAGGGCAGGTATTGCTATCCTAGTATCAGACAAATTAGACTTTAACAAAAAAAAAAAAAACTGTTAAAAGAGATGAAGAAGGGCACTATGTAATTATGAGATCAATTCAACAGGACGATGTGGCTCCAATAAATGTATATGCAACCAACCACAGGATGTCTGGCTACTTAAAAGAAATGTTAATGTATCTAAAGGGAGATATAGACTCCAATATAGTAGTAATGGGGGACTTCAACACTCCACTTTCATCAATGGACACATCAACTAGATAGAAAATAATAATAATAAAAAAAAAACTAAACAACAGAACTAATCAACAGTATGAACCAAATAGACTTAATGGATGTCTACAGAACTTTTCAACCCACAGTTGCAGAACGCACATTCTTCTCATCAGTACATGGAACTTTCTCTAGGATAGACCAAATGCTAGGCCATAAAACAAGTCTCAGCAAATTCAATAAAAATCAAAATTATACCATGTATCTTCTTTGATCACAATAGAATGGAGCTGAAAATCAACAATTCTAGAATCTCTAGATCCTATGCAAACATTTATAGACTAAATAATATGATCTTGAATGAGAGCGGTCATAGAAGAAATCAAAAGAAATCAAAAAATGTCTGGAAACAAATGAAGATGACAATAAATCATATCAAAACCTATGAGATACAACAAGTGCAGTAGTAATAGGGAAGTTTTTAGCAATTGGTGTCTACATGAAGAAATTGGAAAAGTACCAAATAAATGAGCTATCAATGCAACTCAAGGACCTAATCCAAGGGCAAGTTTAATCAATAAAAGAATCTAGGTTTCTGGACTTCATTAAATATCTACTATGTTATCTTTCCTATCTGATTACCTTCAGTTAACTGTGGCTACCATAAAATGTAGAATTCTTTCAGCTCTGTCTGTATTTATTACTCATAATTATTTCACTCAGAAGTTCCACTCTTAACAATAGCTGCAAACTGAAGAGCTAACTAAATATTAGAGAAAGTTTATATTTGTTAGACACATGCAGATTACCTAAAAGGAGAAAAATTATATTCATTAGATGATTTCCACAGAATTTTTATTAATTTCTTAAAGATAAATATGTGACATGGCTAAATTAATATAAGTTTAAGCAGCAAGAATCTTTTTCCTGAAATATTACAATCTAAAGCAAAACAAAAAACAGTAGCAAGCAAAACATAAACAATGTTGAAAATAGTCAAGAAAATATTAGTGTTACAATGTATATTGTGCTTGCTATATCTCATTTATATTCCATAATTCTTTATTTTTTCAGGTGATCTTTGAAATAGGATAGGACTTTGGTATGATAAATGTATTGACATTAAGCGTTGTCCAAAACTATTCATAATATAAATGAGTACAAGATATCATGGAAGCTGGATAAACTTTTTCAGTCAATGCAGCAGAGCAAACCTAACAGTATGAGTCCACAACGTATAAAATGAGGCAACACGATACAGAAAGGACAGAGTTAAAAGCTTTGGGTTTAAACTCCAATCTGTTTCTTAATCTTGGCCTTGAGCAAGTAACTTGCCCTCTCTGGCAGTCAGACATCAGTGGTAAAATGAGCCTCTGTTTGTCCCTCAGGATTATTGAGTCATATATGAAATCATATATAAGACTCATCCTATCTAAAAATCACTATATAAATCGCCTTCCAAACATACAGTGATGCTATGCTACTTTTGATTTAGGAAATTGATGGAGGAAAGCTCCTTATGGGAAAAACAAAAATAGTAACAAACATTTCCAAATGTCTGATAGATTCTGAGAGCTCACGAAAAACAAGACTATATTTCACACTTTGAAATACAATCTCTGCAACTTCAATGAAGGGAAGCGTTGTAGATTACATTGGCATAAAATTATCACATTATTCAAACGTGCCATGATTTGTGTGCTAATTTTTAAATTTTTTGCCTTTTCAGCATAGCACCTATTCTCTTTTTTTCTTGCCATTTTAAAATAACATTAAATACACATTTTAACTGAACCTTGTCCTGAAGAGTAACATTGTGAAACAAATCATTTAAATATATGAATTATATTTTCAATCATATAATAACATAAAATAGAGAATTATGAAGCTTTATTTTATATTTCTCCTTTCTTCTTTTAGACTATTGAAACAATTAAGGCACATTTTAAATGTGCAAGAGTATACATGTAACTGCAACACACTGTCTCCCTCTCTTGTCCTCCAGCCATACATGCCTTTTTCCCAAGGACAGCTACCATCAAAGCTTCTGTTTATTATTGCAGATACACTCATCATATGGAAACTGTTCATTTTACAGTCTTCAAATTGCCTTTCCATATCAACCACCAGTGAGAGCAACTACCTGCTTTAGTGTTCTCTCATGAAATTTTGATATTAGCAATCTCTTAAAAATTGTTTCTCTACCTTCTGGGTAAGCATGCATATCAATGATTTGCATGTTGCAAATATTTCATCCCTTGTATTGGTTTAGTGGTATTTTATTACCAATTTCTTAAACATTTACTTACATAAACTAGATATTGTGCCTTGCTATAGCCTTTGAGTATTATATATATATATTATATTTACTTTCATTTCCTAAACCTCTTATAACAAAAAATTAACTTGCTTTATTTACTTAATATTATGTCTCTGAATTACATGCATCTTAATAAAATACATAGTGTAGTCATTTATTTTAAACCCTGAGTAACATTTCTTTGTACTAACAGAGCAAAATGTGTCAATTTCCTTTTAAGGTACATCTTATTGCTGCTTACATATGCTACATATATACTAAAATTTTTTTTCTAACATCTGAGAGTACCTCAAAAAATACTAAGAAAGCGCCGGCGCTGCGGCTCAATAGGCTAATCCTCCACCTTGCAGCACCAGCACACCGGGTTCTAGTCCCGGTCGGGGCGCCGGATTCTGTCCCGGTTTCTCCTCTTCCAGGCCAGCTCTCTGCTGTGGCCAGGGAAGGCAGTGGAGGATGGCCCAAGTCCTTGGGCCCTGCACCCGCATGGGAGACCAGGAGAAGCACCTGGCTCCTGCCATCGGATCAGCGCAGTGCGCTGGCCGCAGCGCGCCGGCCACGGCGGCCATTGGAGGGTGAACCAACGGCAAAGGAAGACCTTTTTCCCTGTCTCTCTCTCTCACTGTCCACTCTGCCTGTCAAAAAAAGAAAAAAAGAAAAAAAAAATCCTAAGAAAGTGGAATTAAATAAGTTATGGGCAAGTGTTTGGTCTAGCAGTTAAGAAGTCAGTCAAGCCATCCTCATCCCATGTCAGAGTGCTTGAGGTTAACACCCATCTCTGTCTCCTGACTTCAACTGTTTGCTGACTCCAGCAAACACAGACACTGAGAGGCAGCATTATTGCTCACGCAATTGGATTCCTACCACCTATTTGGGAGACCTGGCTTGTGTATTTTTGGTTCATTTTGCTTATGTGGTTTGTACAAGCAATACCTTTGTTGACTGTCCATCCAAATTTTCTTCTAGGACAACCCTGGCTTTTTAAAAACTTTCACCGACACCTGCTGGTGAAGGCCACTTACTTGCCATTAGAGATTTGCTGTCTCTAGGACTAATCATATCCAATTCGCTTGCTTTGCTTGAGTGCTTCCATCTGGCCTGTGCTTTTCCAGGACCCCAACATTCACACTAACAGCAGAAAGCCCAATTTCATGGAATCCTCCACTTTGCCAATCACTGCCTAAAATGACTGCAATCATCACTTCCAAAATATCTTTGGTTCCCTAACAATTTCCTTTTGGAATTAGTAAATAGTGTGTCTTCTAATAACCCAACTTTATGTAATAATCCAGCATGTTTGACTTTGATTCCCAGTTCAATATCCTAAGAACTCTGGCTTACATTCCATTTACGATTATGCCATCACTTTATTCTGTACTTCAAGGAGCTAAGCCAGCAGCATATTGGAATCAGTTCTATCTATTATTGTAGAATGTTGACTCAAGAGTCCAGGGAAAGTGCTCTCATAACAACAAACTTTCCCCTGTCTGGGTTTATATTGTGTATTTACCCTCCTCCAATACCTTCAAGATCCATTCCTGGGAATATTCTCACATTTCCTGTTGGTACATATTAGCAATATTCTGCAGTAAATTGATCTAACTTATTGGCTTAGAAACCATGAAAGCAGATCTGGGCAAACCTGGAACAGAGAAAATATTTCACTTTCCAAGCAAGAAGTCATTTTGTGATTGTAAAGGTATTAGTAATTTCAGTTTTCATTCCTTTTTGCTTTGTGTTTTCTGACATGGTCTCTGTCTGCATCAAATCACAATCCCCAAATATCTCTGCCTCTCTTATGAGAGGTGTTCCTAGGTGATTGTTGGCTTGCTGTTCATATGTATGAATGAGCTTGAAAAACTAATTGAGAGCTTTATGGATGTAGTTTTGTTAGGAGAATCCCAGTGTAAGCATATAATATATTTTCTCTTGGGCTTGTTACATTCTTCAGGGAGGAATTCTTCAATCAGAAATCCTGATTTTGAAGAAAATATGCCTGTGCGCCATGATGTCTAACATGTATACATTTACATAACCCTCTACTTTCAATAGCACCTCATTTTCTTGATTAAAATACCCTTTATTTATAGTCTCTCTACTCGTGTAATAAGAATAAGAGTGTCGATTGTCTGTGGAAAGGAGAGAGATGTTTAGGAAATGTTTGTTATCTTAAACAGCAGTAGCCAAATACTTCTGGCTTCATTGTCATTGTATCCCTGGATCAAATAGGATATTGTCCAAAATTCCTTTGTCACCTGTGTCACCAATTACTGGTATCTTTTAGTAGGGAGGGCTGAATTATTTTTCTTATCAAATAGTTGTTTCAGGTCTGCTAGTTGACTTTTGTTGTTTTAATTTGCTGTTTTTTTTTTTTTATTTTACTGTTATCTCCTATCCAGTTCTCTTTGTCCTTGTCGTTTGATGGCTTTTAAACACTTGAATATTATTTTTAATTATCCATACATTTAATACACGTGATGTACTTTAAAATATAAATTTATGGCACTATCTCAATGAATGTCAAAATCTTTTTGCCCCTCCATCTCTTATTCCTAAGAGTTCTGCTGTTGTATCTTTCCAAGTAAAAGTGGTAAAAATACCATAAGAATAGCCCTGAATATGTCAAAGAATCATTTAGAGATATAATCATACTCCATCTGTACAATTTATCTGACACTGAGCAAGGTACTTCAAATGGAGAAAACTAAGCTTCAGTTTTTCACTTGTGCAATTAGTTTAGTAATATCTATTAACCCATGTTGTTCCAGAAACAAAATTATATAATGTGCTCATGAGTGATGTGTATATACCAGTGTCCCAGTGGACGAGATAAATGTAGTTGACATGTGTAATTCTATCTTGGTTGGGAAATGGAGTTTATCCTCTGTACCTCGATGTGCAGTAAAACTGTATATATGACATACATTAAATTTGTTCATCTTTTAAAAGTAAAAAAAGTTACAGAAAAGAAAGAAAACAACTACATGGTGGATTATTCCCACATGGTGCGTCGGTAGGAAATACATGTACAAGACCAGTTTGGTGCTGATTCTTACTATATTGCATAGACCTCACAGTGGCTAGCTATTTTCCTTTTACCATGTCTTTACCCAAACTTTTCTCTCCCCATACCATATTTTCTAGGTCCAATAATCCTGTTTATTTCTCCTGATACTCATATAATATGATTTCAAGGAACAAAAGCAACAGAGTTAAAAATCATTCCAAAACCATAAGCAGTAAATTATTTTCCTGGTATTTAGTAATTTTTGACTTTGTTTATGGTTTTATTTAAAGAGGTGCTTTTAAGTTAATAACAGGTCAGATGGAAAAGAATAGGTATAAGACAAAAGACTGATTTTTGGCATAATGATACTATATTTATGATTTATCATACAGAATGTGTGATGTACAGTATGCATTCTAGACATGTTAGACTTTTCCCTTATGTTCCAAGTTTTCAACTATTTATTTATTATAATAATTATAATGCTAGTAGATCTGTATTGAAGTTCTTCTGATGCATTTTATCATCAGAATCACCTTTACATTGGTGAATTATTTTTTCTCATTTTCTGAATCTTAAGAAAGTTACATAAATCTCTCAGTTTCATATGTAGAGGTTATTAAAAAATCTTGGAAAATTATCATTATTTTTCATTCCACATGTCCATTAACTTTTTGAGGCACTCTTGCTTTCCTTTAATCAACTGGTAATTTGATAACAAGTTATTTTATTCATCGATTTCTTTATTTGAGAGGGAGAAAAGAAGAGATAGAAAGGATAGGAGAGAAAGCGAGGAGAGAACTGCTTTCTGCTGGTTCACTCCCCTAAAATCATTAAAGACCTTCAGTGCTGGGGCCAAAGTTATAATCTGCAAACTCAGTCTGAATCTCCTATGTGGGCACCAGCATCCCAGTCACTGTGGCCATCACCACTAACTCTCAGAATCTGCCTGGGTAGGTAGCTGGAGTCAGGAGCTGGATCCAGTAACCTAAAGGATCTCCATTGTAAGACATGTGCCTCTTAATTAACATCTTAACAGCTAGATTAAACGACTGCCCCTAAACAGATTTTGAAATCCATATATTTAATCACTATATCATTCTGGGGTCCTAATTTCTTTCACATCTTGCATTGGTATCACCAGATACCTATGTTGCAATTGAGATTATATAACTTTTGTTTATCACCAAGGAGGTAGAAAACCTCCTATGTGCTGTGGTTAATGGATAGAGTATAAATAAATGACTTCTTCAAGAAGTTTGTCTAATATTATTATCATATTTCTTTTTATATGTTCCCTGCTAAAATGAATGTAATTTATTGTGAAAGAGAGATGGACACTAATTTTTAGGGTAGATAATTTTGTTGATTTTTCCAAGGAAAAATCAACAGATTTGACATTGGTGGGTAACTTCTGATCTGGAGATGAGCCAGGAAATTTCAAGAAATGGGGAAATAAGGATCCTAACCCAAACTGAACTTTTTTGCCAGAGGCTTTGCCTGTGGGGATCAGGTAACAGAGTTCGAGAAGAGAAGCCCCAGAGTGTAGAGGTCATCTCTAAGGATAGACTTCATCATTTTGCCTAAGGTCACTTCCTGTCTGAGAGTAAGGTCCATGGCTGATAAGACAATTATTTTGGTAGTATCATGCCTTTCCCACTTTAAACTTAATGACATAGCACCGGTTTTGCCTAAACCTTAATTTCTTACTAGTGTTGAGTAATGTTCGTAATGACAATTAACACAACTTTTGAATTCTATGAATACTCAATATGGGGTTAGAATTCCAAATAACATTATTTCCCACAAAACACCAAAAAGCAGTTACATCTAATCTCAAGTGAAAAATCTTCATCTTGCTTTTTTGTTCCACAGTTTCTCCAAACAAACACACCTAAACTGGAACTATTGCCATGAATTCATTAAGTTTGTATAATTGGTTTATTATCATAACTCATAATAAGAGTCAAATGGCAAAGCTTTGTAGATAAATTGATTCTGTTCTAATGTGTGTGTGTGTGTGTGTGTGTGTGTGTGTCATGTATGTATTATATATAGAAGGGCACTGAAAGATATATTTCATGGACTTTAAAATTTTGTATGTAAAAGAGCCTTATCCACAAGAACCTACATTTCTACAGTAAGCCAGGCCCCTCTTAAATATTCATCATATGAGACAATCAGTTATTTTTGCCTTATTATCCTTCTCATTTCCAGTGTTTCAAATGAAAATGGGGCCTTGCAGTAATAGTTCTTGTCAGAGGAACTTGGGATTCCCTAAGTTCCCTGAAATGCAGACTTTTATTCCTACCTCTTTAACAACACCCACAGCAACTCGAGCTTGTCACAGTGACTAAGTTGTTGCTTGGGATGTCTGCCCCCCATAACAAAGAGCATGGTTCAATTCCAAGCTATTCTTCTGACCCAGCTTTGTGCTTATGTGCAATCTGGCATGAATTAGGTGGTGGTTCAAGTACTTAAGTTCCTGCCATCCATGTGGGATACCTGGATGGAGTTCTAGGTTCCTCGTGTTAGCCTGGACTTGCTGTTGTTAGCATTTGGGGAATGAACCAGCATATGGAAGATATTGCTCGCTCTCTCTACACAAGCACTCTTCTCTTGTATTTTTCGTGACTTCTCCCCTTAACCTAGTAATTGGTATAGGGATTACTTTTATCAGGAACTACTCTTTTGATGTTCAACCCTCTAAGACAAATTTCCACAGGCAAACTTAAAATGCAGGCCCAAATTATTTGGTCTGTTTGCAAATTTTTCATTGGACGTTCTTTTGGCAACTTCCTAACACACTTGCATTTTGTTCCAGCTGGAAGTTCACAGTAATTTTATTAAAAGATTAAATAATTTTAGCATTGCTTTCTTGTGATCCTGCTTGCTCTTAGTTCAAGTTTACAAAAACATAGTATGAGATGAAAGATTAATATTATCAATAACACAATGATTATGTCTTTTCTGAGTAATATATTCCATTATTAATGAAGTAGGGAAAAAGAGTTTACTTTTTATTTCAGTCTCTTGCCATGCACCAATAAAGGAATTCTAGGTGCACATATAAAGTAGATTTTATTCAAAAGGTAAGAAAGAAAACACAAAGAGACACACATACACATACATGTGAGCGTAGTTTGACCTATGTTGAGAGATACATTGAGAGATCATGAATGGTAAGTGGGCACAGAAAAGAAAGGGAGTCGGGGAAGGAAAACAAAGAGAAACCACACCCCAGTGCTTCCTCCACTCATGTTGTCCAGCAGGACAGACAGAATTCCTTTCAGTTGTCAGCACTTTTTAAAAGATTGGAAGAGGGAGTGGCTAATTACATGTCACTTCCCTCTCAAGTCTCAGGTGAAGGAGATAAATCTCATGAAGGGGGCAGGTAATTGACAAGTAAGAGATGTATGAGACATGGGGTGGGACATTCCAGCTCAGAAGACCTAGCTAGCTACCTAACTATCCTGCAACATCCACTCTCAGAGATTTCTGATCCTTAATCTTGAGGGTATGCTGAGAGATGATAACCCATCTTCTCTATCTACTTCCTGCTGATCAGGGTCATGATCATTGCCTATCTCAGACTTAGAAACCTTTCCCTATTTAATCAATCTGTATTGTGAGTTGGAGAATCTTCATCTGTCATTGCCAAAGGTTGTGTCCCCTGCATAGTCATTACTATT